CGATCATTTACAAGCAATGGGAAAGATTTTAAAGGAAGGAAAATGGGTGCCACATCAACTGAACGAAAGACAAATGGAAAACCGAAAAGTCATCAGTAAAATGTTGCTTCAACAGCACGAAATAAAGTCTTTTTTTGCATCGAATTGTGACTGGCGATGAAAAGTGGATTTATTTTGAGAATCCCAAATGCACAAATGGGTTGATCTAGGTCAACTATCAACATCGACTGCAAGGCCAAATCGCTTCGGAAAGAAGACAATGCTCTGCATTTGGTGGGATCAGGAAGTTGTGGTATAGTATGAGCTTCTAAAACCAGGTGAAACCGTTAATACTGATTGCTACCGACAACAAATAATCAATTTGAACCACGCTTTGATCGTGAAATGACCAGAATGTGCCAGAAGACACGGCAAAGTAATTTTGCTTCATGATGACGCATCATCACACACTTCAAAACCAGTTAAAGACACGTTAAAAGATCTTGCCTGGGAAGTATTAACCCACCTGCTATATTCACCAGACCTTGCTCCTTCAGATTACCACCTGTTCTGATCGATGGCACACGCACTTTCTGAGCACTTCAAAACATACGAAGAAGTGGAAAATTGGGTTTCTGAATGGTTTGCCTCAAAACAAGAAAAGTTCTATTGGGATGGTATCCACAAATTACCTGAAAGATGGGGGAAATGTGTAGCTAGCGATGGACATTACTTTGAATAAAACACTTTAGATGTTTCTCTTGAAATTATTGTGTTTTCTTTTATTATAAAATCCGCCATTATTTACCAGTACACCTAGTACTCTTTTAATACTCTTGCCTTAAAGTTCTTTATACCTTGAATCTGTAAAGGCATTTATTTCCACATTACCTTCAAGATCCAGAACTATACTATATCGTTCTTTACAAGAGTTCCAAATGATGTCAAGATCTGTTTATAACCTCCCATACCACTATGCACACACACTTATTCCACCTTTTTAAGCTTCCATCTCACTACCACATTAATGTGTTCATGGTCAATATTAATCCCTTAAAGTTTCTCAGATTTGGTCTTTGTTGTCTTACTTCTTTTAAGTAATAGTGACTCATTTCAACAATGCCACTGGTAACATCTTAGATTCTTTGGCTGATTCTCATTGTTTTACTAACCTGCTTGTTAAATACTAATCTTGGGTAAATCCTACCACTCAATTATTCCATTCTTCCTCTCAGGTTACTACATATTGATGGGAAAAATAATGAAACTAGGCCAATTAGTTCCATTATCAATTCACGGAACTTAGTCCTGCATACTATTGCCTGAAAAATGTTACTTATTTTTAACATCCTATTAAATTCTTCCCAATACTTATTCCAACCTTTCCCATGCTTCTCTGGCTCCTAACTTCATCCCTGCCTCCCACTTTTAAATCACTTAGAAAATAGCAACACCTTCAAATTTACTCTGAAGATCAAAGCCAATGTAGTACTGGAGTAAGGATAGACATATAGAACAACACAACAGAATTAAAGAGTCCAGAAATAAAGCCTTGCATTTATGGTCAATTGATTTTCTATTACTTTTGCTGCTTTTTAAAAATCCTTACCCAAGGATATGTTTTCTTGTGTGTGTGGTTTTTTTCCTATTTTTATTTTAGAGAGAAGGGAGGGAAAGGGGGAAGGAAGGAGGGAAGGAGGGAGGGAGGGAGGGAGGGAGATAGGTAGGTAGATATCGGTTGCCTCTTGTATGTGCCCTGTTCCTGGGAGTGAACCTGCAACCTAGGTTATATGCCCTGACAGGCAATCAAACCTGAGAACTTTTTGTGCATGGGATGGTGCTCCAACCAACCAAGCCACATTGGCCAGGGCTACTTCTGCTTCTTTAGTACAGCCATGAAACAAGAACAGATTAGTATGTCTTCTCATATCTCTGATGTTAATTATAATTTTCTTTTGCTCTCTGCACATATTTTCACCATTTCTGTTGTTATATTTCTGTTAAAAAGCTTTCTTCACATTTCTGTTTATTCTTAGATATCCATTCATATTTAAGAGTTAAAGACTCTTGACAGCCGGTGTGGCTCAGTGGTTGAGTGTTGACCTATGAATCAAGGGGTTGCCGGTTCAATTCCTGGTCAGGGCACATGCTCGGGTTGTGGGTTCAATCCCCGGTGGGAAGTGTGCAGGAGGCAGCCGATCGATGTTTCTCTCTCATCGATGTTTCTATCTCCCTTCCTCTCTCGGAAATCAATAAAAACATACTTACAAAAAAACCTCAAGATGTCAATACTATCTAAAGCAATCTATAGATTCATGCAATCCCTATCAAAATCCCCCGGTGGGAGTGTGCAGGAGGCAGCCAATCGATGTTTCTCTCTCATCGATGTTTCTATCTCCCTTCCTCTCTCGGAAATCAATAAAAACATACTTACACAAAAACCTCAAGATGTCAATACTATCTAAAGCAATCTATAGATTCATGCAATCCCTATCAAAATCCCAGTGTGTTTGCAGAAATAGAAAAATCCATCCTAAAATTCATATGGAATTTCAAGGTATCCCAAACAGCCAAAACAATCTTGAGAAAGAACCAAGTTAGGGGTCTCATATTTCCTGCTGTCAAAACTTAGCTTTTACTATAGTAATCAAATCAGTGTGGTACTGGCATAAAGTCAGACATATAGACCAATGGAGTAGAGAGCCCAGAAATAAATTCTCACATATATGGTAAAATGTCTTGACAAGCGCATTTATCAAAATTTCCATTCAACGAGAAAGGACTTTCAACAAGTGGTACTGGGAAAACTGGATACGAAATGCAAAAGCTGGACCCTTACCTTACATCACAAATACAAATTAACTCAAAATGGATCAAACATAAGAACTAAAACTATAAGACTCCTAGAAGAAAACATAGGGAAAAGCTTTATGACATTGAATTTGGCAATGTTTTCTTGGATGACACCCAAGGCATAGGCAACAAGAGGAAAAACAGATGTTAGATTCATTAAAAAAAAACAAAAAAACTTTTGAGTATCAAAGGACACTATCAACAGAGTGAAGGGGGAACCCACAGAATGGAAGAAAATATTTGCAAATTATCTATCTGATTAGGATTGATATTCAGGACATATATTCAGAATATATACAGAACTCCTACAACTCAACAACACAAACAACCCAATTAAAAAAATGCGCAAAGATTTGAATAGGCGTTTCTCCACAGAAAAAAATACAAATGGCCAGTAACCACAGGAAGAGATGCTCAACATCATTAGTTATCAGGGAAATGCAAATCAAAACCACAAGCTATAGCTTCACCCTGTATACATACAATAGAATATTATTCAATGTTAAATAGAAAAAAATTTTTGCACATAATAAACATGAATGAACCTGGAAGACATTATGGTAAGTGAAATAAGCTAGTCACAAAGGAACAAATATTTTATAATTCCACTTTATATGAGGTTCCTAGTGTAGTCAAATTCATAGAGACAGAAAGGATATAATGGTGGGTCTCAGTGGGTAATCAGTAGACCTGGTTTTTCACTAAAGGGCCTTCAAATATCAGTACCCATACGTCTTTTCCCTGAGTCAACTTTCCTCTGGAAGAATACTGTCATCTCCAACCAGGCTCCTCTGTTCATAATATATCAAATGGTAGTAAGTTCAATGTTTTAACTAATTTATATGTTTACTAGTGACCCGGTGCACGGATTCATGCACATCAAAAGAAAATTAATTAGAAGGTGGCCGGTGGGGCGGGACTGGGTGAGATGGGTTGGACACACCCTGGAGCCAACCTCCTGAGGTCTCTCCCTGGCTGGCCACACATGGGGTGGTGCCGTGGTGCAAAGGGCGTCTGCGGAATGAGCGGAGTCCCTCTGGCAGGTGGGGTCCCTCGGCCTGGCCTGCAGGGATCGGGCCAAAACCAGCTCTCTGACATCCTCCCAGGGGTCCCGGAGTGTGAGAGGGCACTCTGCAAAATTGCTGTCGTACAGGGTTTGGAATGCAAACACAAGTGTGCAGTAAACCAGATTCGGGGCCGACAGTGCCCCAGAAACAACATAACCCACGGCCAAAGGTGGAATTGCATGGCCCTGCGAGGAATCAGGCTCCCTCCTCTCTGGTTTCGGGGTGTGTCACCGGAGAACCACCGCAGCCAAGTCACTGCAGCTTGGCAGTTCCTGCATTGAGCATCTGCCCCCTGGTGGGCAGTGCACGTCATAGCTACTGGTTGGATGGACATTTAAGCATATTAGCCTTTTATATATACAAGCAGTCATTGAGTTACGTCGGACTCGACGTATGTCGTTTCGTGGTTATGTCACCATCTCCCATTTGCAGTATTTATAAAAAAAAAAAAAAGGTCCATCATTTGATGTAAGTACATATGTGCTTTATGTTTTTTATTATTTATTTACCACAAGTAAAGGTCAGGAATTGTTATCTTTCTCTTAAATTTTTTTTACTGTTTCACTTCATTACTGCTGTGTATGTGCTCCATGTGAGTGATGTAGGTGCTTATGTAGGTGGGTTCCAACTTATGGCAAAAATCACGTAACGTTGCCCCATAGGAACGGATCTCCAACGTAACCCAAGGACCTACTGTGTATGTCTCCCAAGACAGAGAAAGGGTGGACAGAAAAAAACTGGTTAAAGTTGTCTAATTCTGATTAACAAAGAATTACTATTTTCCCCAGGACTATATGCCTCCTTATGACTCCTTTCTTGTCCTCCTCAGACATACTAGTAAAACAGATAGCATTCAGAGGTATGAATTCTACTCCTAGCACTAATATTACCTGGCAGTGTGCTCTGGGATAAGCCATATGAAAAGAACAGTATATTAGCAGTTATTTCCAAACTCCCAAATTTATTTTAGAAATGCAAACTTTCTCATTAAATACTGGAGATTTAACTTGCTCTTTAAAAAGTAATTAGATTAGATTACTAAATTAGAAATTTAGTTTAGGAGTCCGTTGATCCATGCCTAAAAATCTCTGGCACTTGCAGGCAAATGGTAACCTGATCATTTGTCATTTAGGGTTATATCCCTGTACGGCTAGTAATTACTGTGGAGCCAGCTTTTACAGGGACAGGCAGAATAGTGTAGTGGTAAGCAGAACCGGCTGTGGAGCCTGACTGCCTAGATTCCCTAACAGCTTGCTGACTGTGGAATCTGAGTGACTTACCTAAGGAAACTAATGCCAAGAAAGCTTATCTGTGATTAGAATAGTAACTACTACCTCATCGGATTAAGAAGAATGACTAACTCAATAAATTTACAATGATACTCAGGGCTTGATACAAAAGCCTCAAGGCACTATTAAACAGTAAAGCTAAGTAATTTTGAGCTATTTAATATTTAAACATTATACATTTTACCTATAAGAAAGCAAAAACCAATTTGGGGGAGATCTGTTCTGGAAAAAAGATATTTTACAAAATTCTCCCCATTTTTAAACATGGCAACTACTTTGCTGACCTCCAGAATCATCTTCTTTCTTTTTTTAAACTTTTTTTTTTAACAGAATAAAATTTTGGAGTTCAAATACAACTTTTTATTAATTTTGACATTCTCCAAATTACAAAATACTACATATTTATTGTAACAAGTGAAACAAGATTAAGAAGCTAAGACAAAACTAATTCTCTTTTCCCATTATTTCTAATCCAACCACCTAAGATAACCAATATTATCAGTACAAATGCTTTTTATACATGCACTATTTTTCTTTTCAAAATTACTACAAATATAATACTCAAAAGCTTACCTCCAGATATATTGATGGTGGATTATGCTCCCCACCAAATTTGTCCAATAGCGCCTCTATATGTTCCTGTGTCAACTTAATCATTTGTTTGATATTCCACACCTATAAAACATTTTTAAAACAATTTAAATAAAAATAATTTAGGAAAGGAATTAGAAATACTTCAAGATTTCTATCAAAATATTGCAGTAACTGCCTGTAACCCTTGAAATTTAGAGCTTAGAAAACTTAAAGATTATTTAGTATAGTGGTCTTTCCCTTTTATTAAACACTAGAGGCCCAATGCACATCATTTGTGCATGAGTGGAGTCCCTAGGCCTGGCGGGAGATCAGAGCCTATCAGGGCTGTCTCGCCCCGTCCCAATTGGGGCCAGGCCAGTCAGGGACTGCTGGCTGCTGGCTGGGGCCTGGGGGCCTGCTGCCGGTAGGGGGCTGCCGGACAAGGCCTGCTGGGCTGGGGTGGGGGGTGTTGGGGTGGGGAAGAACGGAGAAGGAGCGCAGAAGGTTTGCCAGCCGGGGGAAGGAACCAGGGGAGTTTGGCTGGCCGTGGGAGGTTGGCTGTGGGAGCACACTGACCACCAGGAGGCAGCTCCTGAGTTGAACATCTTCCCCCTGGTGGACAGTGTGTGTAATAGCAACTGGCCGACGGGTCATTCTGGTCGTAACAGTTGCTTAGGCTTTTATATATATAGACTAGAGACCTGTTGCACGAAATTCATGCACCAGAGGGTGGGGGGTGTCCCTCAGCCTGGCCTGCACCCTCAGGGGATGTCCAATTGCCGTGAGGATCGGGCCTAAACTGGCAGTGATGGGACATCCCTCTCACAATCTGGGATGCTGCATGCACCAGTGACTATACTTTTCATACAGGTGAAAGGCTTCTTGCTGTTGTATGGGCAGCTACATTTTTTTGCCCTGATTATAAAAAATAGTATATAACATGATCCTTCTGAGGCAGTAGTACCATTTTCCTCATCTTATGGGTGGAAAAACTGAAGCAGAGAGAAGTTAAGTAATTGGCTTTGTCACACAGTTATAAGTGTCAGAATCAGGGCTGACCACAAAATGTGCAAGCCAGAGTCCATGCATGTCATGGCTGCATCATCCTGCTTTTTCAGTGTTAGAGTAGCCTTGCCAGGTTTTAATTTTTAAATCTAAGAGACTCTTCCCAATATATAGGGTAGGATCCCTAGGCCTGGCTGGCGATCAAGGCCGATATGTGGGGCGACAGGTGAGTAGGGTGATTGGGGGGGCCCCCTCTGACACCCACCTTGGCTGGCAACTTGGCACCGCCCCCCACCGCCAGTTGCCTTCCTCTGTGGGGCGACCGGCAGGCGGGGAGATCAGGAGGACCCCCACTGGCACCTGCCTTGGCTGGCAGCCTGGCGCCACCTGCTGGCCTGCCTCGCCCCTGATCACCACCACCGGTTGCCTCCCTCTCGGAGGGCAGTGCATGTCATAGTGACCGGTCATTCCGCTGGTTGTTCTGCAGTTTGGTCGATTTGCATATTAGGGTTTTATTATATAGGATTTTACAAGTTTTTTCTATACTAGTAATCCTATATAATAAAGAGGGAATATGCAAATTGACCGTCACTCCGCCACAAAGATGGCGGCGCACACAGCAGAGTCGGGGGTTTCCGTAACACAAGATGCCTGCGCCCACAGCGGAGGCCGAGTTCCCTTCACAAGCCTTAACAAGCAATCAGCAGGGACCTGAGGCTGCAGCCCCCCCCCCCATGGGGCTTGACAGGGAACCTCAAGGCACACTCCCGCCCTGGCCTGGGCTAGGGGACCTCAGGTCGCACCCCCCGCCCTGGCGCCGGGCCAGGGGACCTGAGGCTGCGCCTCCCCGCCCAGCGGGGCTTGACAAGGGTGGTACCAGCCAGGTTTGGATCTAGCCCAATGGGAGGTGGGGGCAATCGGGTCTGGGTCTCGCACAATTTTGAGGCGCACATGGGTGGGTGGAGACTTGACTCTGGGTCCCATGGTGTGCCCCAGACTCTGACAGGAGGAAGATTTTCATATACATTTTACTAATTTTCTTTCATCTCTGACACTTCTATCATAGAGAAAGGGCAAATAGCAATATTAAAATTTTTCTTCTAATTAATTCCCTTTTAATGTGCACGAATTTCATGCACCGGGTCACTAGTACAATATATTCTCAACTATAAAAAAATCAAATACATGAGTATTCAGAATAAACAAAAATCTCTTTCAATTTCCCCACATTCCTGGTCCCCTGCTAAAAAGGTAAGTGCTGTTTATAGTGTTTTTTTTAAAGATATTTTTATTGATATCAGAGAGGAAAGGAGAGGGAGAGAGAGGTAGAAACATCAATGATGAGAGATAACCACTGATCAGCTGCCTCCTGCATGCCCCACATTGGGGATCGAGACCACAATCTGGGTATGAGCCCTGACCGGGAATCAAACTGTGACCTCCTGGTTCAGAGGTCGATGCTCAACCACTGAGCCATGCCGATTTTTAGAGACAGTGAAAGGAGGGGAGGGGGAGAGGGGGGGAGAGAGAGAGAGAGAGAGAGAGAGAGAGAAACAATGATCTGTTGCCTCCTGCATGTGCCCCGACTGGGGCCAGGGATCGAACCTGCAACTCAGGTACATGCTCTTGACTTAGAATCAAATCCATGACCCTTTGGTGTACTGGCCTATGCTCTAACCACTAAGCAAATTGATGTGTTTCATATTGATGTTTCTCTCTCTTTCACTTTCCACTCCCTTTCTCCCTTCTTCTCTCTAAAAATCAATGGAAAAAAATATCCTCGGGTGAGGATTAACAACAACAAAACAAACAGGAAAGTGGTATTAATGAAATCAATAAGCAGACTTTGAGTTAAACTTAGAAATTAATCTAAAATGGAATAAGAGAACCAAGATTTTTTTTCTGGCTAATTAAGAGCAGATTAAACCCTAAAGTTACTGGGATTATGGGGGGAAAAACCATAAACAAACAAAAACCAGCACCACAAATAAACTATTTAAATGGTCCATAAAGTCATCCACTAAATTTACTTAATTTTAAGCAGATCTATTTTGGTCACATACATATAACTGAATGGAATGGGCCTGTCTTTGGAGTTGGAACAAAATTGAATTAAAATATAGATGTCTATCATGTGAAACCCTACAGCAAGCATATCAAACTCGTGGTCCGAGAGCTGCATGAGGCCCACAACAAATATTTTTGCAGCCCAGCCAATATAACAGTATGTAAGAAACGTTTTAATAAAAATTTCGTAACTTAATTTTTACAATATCCTATTATATATAATTATTAAAACGAACTACAACGTTCACTAATGACTGATTACTATAATCGTGTTGCATTCATTTCCCTTACGTGCCTTAAGCGCAGGCGCACCATTTCTCTCCACTAATACTAGCAGCGAATATTTTAGCAGCTGATTGCCATGTCATTAGTCTTGGACTGACTTGTTTGGTGTGTGCAACAGGAAATATTTCGCTTTTGGAGAACAAGAAAAATAGGTTTATTTGCATTACGCTTATTAATTTGTGCAGTTATTCAGTGTCTGGTAAGTTAATGTTTAAGAAAAAATATTAATTTTATTAAAATGTTCTATTAATTTATGTTAACGACTACTCATTTATTTCAGCCCTTTGTATTCAGTATGTGTCTATTGAAATAAACCTACATTTCTATGAAAATTGAAGCTCTTGTTTTTTGCGGCCCACATAAACTTAAACCTTATTTTGCCCATGTTAGCCTTTGAGTTTGACATGCTTGCCCTACAGATTTCAACAGCACATACCTTTACTCATCTTAACAATATATCATGTTTCCTGACTTTTGGTAAAACCCCTAGAATTTTCTTGCATTGTAACCTCCTATCCCAAGTTATTCTCAGTTTTCTAAAACTCTGGGCACCACTCCACAGAACCACATCCCACAACACTAAAATCAAAGATTTGTGCGGAAACACTCTCACAAGTAACTAACTGGGGGATAATGGCCTGTTAGGACTGTAAGCTCCTTGAAGTTGATCACATTGATCATAGTTTTATTCCTAGCACCTAGGTACATTAAAAGCAGGTAGTTTATGGGTGCTGGCTGCATGAACATATTAAAAACTCTATATTTTGGGAAAGCTCAGAGCAGACTGATTCAATCACATTCAAGAGAGTTCAACTGAGGTTAGAGAAGTAACAGGGTACAGATAAGATCAGAGAAATAGAAGCCACCCTCAGTCAAGATATTTTCATTCTTTCTCAACTAGGGTTCCATGAGAAAATGAAGTCCAATTGCTCTAAGGCAGCGGTTCTCAACCTTTGGGTTGCAACCCTTTGGGGGTCGAACGACTCTTTCACAGGGGTCGCCTAAGACCATCCTGCATATCAGATATTTACATTACGATTCATAACAGTAGCAACATTACAGTTATGAAGTAGCAACGAAAATAATTTTATGGTTGGGTCACAACATGAGGAACTGTATTTAAAGGGCCAGAAGGTTGAGAACCACTGCTCTAAGGCATCCAGTATAAGCAATGAATTACCTTCTCTCCAATGTACCTAGAATGGTACTACTAAGACTCTCAAGAGAGAGAGTTAAACTGTATGTTCACTAGCTTTAGGTACTTTTTTAATAAACCCTGAATTAACGAATAATATTTTATGAAAAGCATTTCATGGTGTATGAATGTTTTAAAAATACAATGTTACCCATACACATATCACCTGGCTATTTCATTTGCTTTATTTTCCCCTTCCAAAATAATATACTGTCAGTTTTCAAAGTCTTCCAATTTCTCTATCAATATAACATATCTCCGGCATCCAATTCTATTTTCCCTGTACCAGGTACTCTAATAACAAGTGATAGGGATACTATAGCATAATTATTGTAACAATCTTATATATACTGCTTATTTTATACCAGGCACTGTTTACACACTGTATATATTAAACTTTTTCAACTTCCAACAACCTAATGAGGTGGGAACTATTATTATCCTTATTTTACAGATGAGGAAACAGAAGTTAAACAAAAAAACAAACTTGGCCCAGGTCAGAGAGCTAATAAGTGGCAGAACTACTCATAGGTGCTGCATAGTCTA